TTATAATTTGTTTTTTGAAAATATGCATTTTAAATATTTGCTAGAGAGTTCTAATATCCTCAAGAATACCTACAATGTAAACACTGTTCTATGCAAAGACTAAATCCTTAGCAATAGACAGAAGGAGCTGAGTGCTCTGAGTGAGGGAATGGGCTTGACCAGTGTTTGAAGATTTAAAAATCAATATGAAGACATGTTTTGATACTAGGACATGATTGTATGTTTATATTTAAGGAGAGTCTGATTATCATCAGAAAAACTCTATAATTTTAAAATCTATAGCTGGCAATATCCATGAATTCAGCCCAGGTCATCAAATGCTGGAAGCACATGGGTCAGATTGACTGTCTCCATTTTTTCTTGCTAACTTCAAAGCTATGAAGAAATCCAAAGCCCTGCTGATAGTCTGCCATGATATATTCTTTTAAATGCCTGAAAAGTTTTCCCTTCCTATGGGGATCCCCCAAACACAGCTATCCTTACACACCGAGCCCCTATTCAAATTTTGGTTCCTCTTTCTAACACTGGTTGTCAGTCAACTTTGCAGGTCTATACCAACTGCAGATCTAGAGCCAATGCTTATAGCTGAAATTTTCTGAAAATTCCTTTAACTTTAGATAAATTTTTTAAATTACCACAAAATTAGTTTAGAAGAATTCGCAGAGAGGTACATTGGGAGGGAAATAGCTTTGACGCCTTCCATGGATTTATGACCGAACCTATCCAGTCAAATTCCTCCAGGTATTTTTGCTATTTCCTAGGGATATATTGAAATTATACACATTTTGAAGCTTCCTTAATCAATTTAAACAAATACAAATAATAAAATTCAGTGTCAATGAGATACTGAATGTAAAAGATAAAAGTACATCCATATTTTTATAATGATTTTTCAATTGTTATGGAAAGAAATATGAGACTATGTAAACAGAAAAATAAAATTTCTTTTAATTAAAGAAACCCACAATTAAAAATATATCCCAAGAAAATATTCCCATCACTTATTACCCCAAAGAGTAATTTGTTCAAGGAGGTTAAAGTGGTGTTACTTATAATAGTTAAAGAATCAGAAAATGTACTTTCCTAAAATTTAGGGTTCAGAAAACTAATCTAGGCCAAACACAGTGGCTCAAACATGTAATCCCAGCACTTTGTGAGGGGGATGGGTGATGTGGGAAGATCACTTGAGCCTAGGAGTTTAAGATCAGCTTGGGCAACCTAGGGAGATCCCCTCTCTACAAGTAATAAATAATTATCCAGGTATGGTGGCGTGTGCCCATAGTCCAGCTTCTGGGAGGCTGAGGCAGGAGAACCACTTGAGCTCAAGAGGTTGAGGCTGCAGTGAGCCTTGATCATGCCACTGCACTCTAGCTTGGATTACAGATTCAGACCCTGTCTCAAAAATAAATAAATAAATAAATAAATAAAAGAAAAAGAAAACTAGTCTATACTAATATATAAATTATATGGCCATTAAGAATTATAAGACTTTAGACCACGTTGATCTCTGGAAATATGTTCATGAAATAATGTTAATTATAAATATGTGTTTTGTACAGATGTACATTTGGGCATTTTAATAGATTTATAAATCCTTCTGTATCATTTTGTGTTCAAAGACAGTGTATTTCTTTTTTGTGTCGTACTTAAACAATTCATTTTTTATTTTAATAGTTTCTGGGGGACACGTAGTTTTTTGTTACATGGACAAATTCTTTTCTAGTAATTTCTGATATTTTGGTGTACCCATCACCAGAGTAGTGTACACTATACTCAATACGTAGTATTTTACCCCTCACCCCACTTCCCCCTGAGTCTCCAAACTCCATTATACCATTCTGATGCCTTTGCATCCTCATAGCTTAGCTCCAGCTTATGAATGAGAACATATGATGTTTGGTTTTCCACTCTGAGTTAGTTCACTTAGAATAATCTTCTCCAATTCCATCCAGATTGCTGAGAATGCCATTATTTCATTCCTTTTTATGGCTGAGTAGTATTCTGTGGTGTATATATACTACATTGTCTTTATCCACTCGGTTGATGGGCATTTAGGCTGGTTCCATATTTTTTGCAATTGTGAATTGTGCTGCTATAAACATGTGCAAACACAGTCTATTTCAAACAGATTGTATTTATATGTATAAATCTATTGAAGTATATGAATGTACATTGACAAATAAATGTAAGGGGATGTTAACAGAATTTTATGTTTATTAAATTCTTTGGTTTCAAAACAAAGCAACATTTCACAAAAATTATTCTATTTTATTATAAGCGCTGCTTACAAACAAATTTGTTCAAAACAAATTTGGGGTTTTGGGGAATAGCTTAAGTTAAATGTTTTTACTATAGGAATTTTCAGAGCCTTTATTAACATACATTGTGGATCTCTAAAATGAGATTCCTCTTATTGTTTATCTCAAAATCTATTTACATCACGACTTACATTTATTTTGTGTAAATAAATCTGTATAAATCTTTTTTGCACTTGTTACTAATTTGTCGTTTTCACCAAACTGTAACTTCTATCAGGACAGGTAAATATATCTGTCTTCTTCACCACTGTTCCTAGAGTGCCAGCCAGGGCATATAGAAGTGGCTCAATAAATATTTTTGTAGTGAATGAGTTCCTAGAGCAGCATTTAGGCAAACTAGTGCCTAAAGTCACACATTTGGGGAACTACCACTCTAAAGTCATTTAGTTGCATAATAACTTCAAAGGAAAAAAAATGTGTTAATACCTCTAGGCCACTAGAGATCCATTTAATAATTATTGCTTCACTTCAGTTGAGTCACTTACTACTTTAGGGAACAGAGGAGATTTCTCAGAGAGCACCTCATGACCTGGAAAAGTCTTGCAAAATCATTTTCATACTCTGCATCTCCAACTGAAAAACAATGATAAAATTAGTTACCATGGAAGTTAAAGGAATCGTGCTTTGTATTAACACCAACAGTCTTCTGGAACACATTTGGTAACATTAGATTTTCCATCAAAGATATTTGCTTATTTTAGTAGTTCAAGCATGAAAAAGAGATATCCCTTCTGGAAACTGCAAATTGTTGACTCACTGATTCTCATTTGGGAAAAGGGATTTCACATTACTTTAATTTTCTAAATAGTCAAAGCCCATATTAAGACAGCTTTTAAAAATATTTAAAATCTATGGCTTACCTACATGTTTTACACTATAATTTATGGTTGTAGAAGTTAGAAAGTGCAATTCGTTTTAATAACCCTGTGGGGAAGTTATATAATTCTATGGCTTTTAAAAATATATGGAAAAGCTATATACTTTTCGTTAACTGCTAAGATTCATGAATTTTCTCCACAAGTTCTCCAGAAGAACTACTAGAAAAAACTCCATGAATCTCATTATTTGACAGTTTTGTTGAAGCGAAATTATTAAAATTGATATTAGATTTAATGACTTGTTTCCAGTAACCAAAATAGAAAGTATTCTACCAGCTGTCGATGGTTCCACACTCTGACACATAGTTAAAACCTTAGCTTCTGCCTAAACTTTAAACCTTAATAATATTTGGTGGTAGGGGAGGGGTTACATTTCAAGTCAAACAAAGGATGTATTTCCAAAGCAGCATTTGCAAAGGTTAATCTGTGTATGGACTACAAAGGGGAAAGTGCAGTGCCCCAGTGATCGATCTAAGACCCCCTCTCGTTGTTGTTGCTGTTGTTACTGTTTGTCTGGTTAATAAACCACCTAGAGGGATAATTTTTAAACCTAATTTGTTGAAATGGTACTTTACTAATGTAAGAAAAAAAATTTCCCCAAATTGCAGAATTTTTGGTAAATTGATTTTACATTTGGGAATAAAGATTTCTTGCTTCTTCTACTGACAACTTTTACACAAAAGATAAAAGGTACTTTTACTTGGTAATCTGCAGGGAGAAAATGTACAGAAACCCAGAGCCAAAGGTGCTCTCAGGGGATTCCCTGAAACATTCAAAGCCACAGCTGCCCCAGAAGGTAAGTGGCCTTCTCGGGAACACAGGTCTCCTGACTCAAGGCCTACCCTTCCTTTCCCCCACACCAAAGCTCGCGGGGCACCAGCTAGAGTGAAGGTCAAAGTCAACAGAATAATCTCTGCAGTTCGTGGTCTGCGAGGGTCCTCCTATCCGAGGGAGTGTTCATGAAAGGGTATTTCGCAACGTTTTATTCCAAGGACACAGTCTAGTCAAAAGACGTTTGGGGTGGGGCAAACATGGGGCAAAAGAACACCTACAAAAGAAAAAAGCGCAGTTTCTTGGAGGCTTGTCAGAAGCTAAGACTGGGGAAGTGGGAACCAGGGCCCTTTGGCGAGAGTTGGGGTAGGAATCGCGTCAGAAAAGCAATTTCTAGAGCGGAAAGGTGACCCCACATTACAAAAAGAAACGGAGTAGAAAAATGGGCTTTACTCTTCTAGAGCTGCTTCAGAATCTCCTGAAGACCAGGGAGGAACCCTGCAGGCGAGCCAGGCGGATACTCAGCCGCTCCCGATAGAGGGGTGCGCAAAGCTGCCGAGCCGTGTGTGTGTGGCTCCCTAGTGCACTCACTGCTGGCTCCCTCTCGGTGCTCTGGGCCCTCCCCAGCTCCCCCAACACACCCCCGCCCCCTCCGAGCTCCCCGACTCCTCCCCGGCTCTCCACTGCTCTTCCCGACTCCTGTCGGCGTTCCTTGGGCCCTGGGTGCCACGAGCTGTCCAGAAGCGCAGCCCCTAGCGGCGCGTCACTGCCAAGCCGGCCTCCGCGCGCCTCCCTCCTGCCTCTTCCCTGGCTGTACGCGATCCAGCTTGGGTAGGCGGGGAAGCAGCTGGAGCGGGACCGCAGCCGCAGCCACCCTGCAGCCGCCAGTCGGAGGTGCAGTCCGTAGGCCCTGGCCCCCGGGTGGGCCCTGGGGAGTCGGCGCCGCTCCCGGGGAGCTGCAAGGCTCGCCCCTGCCCGGCGTGGAGGGCGCGGGGGGCGCGGAGGTGAGCGGGTCGGGGAGGAGCGTGAAAAGAGGTGGCGGCGGCGGAGTTGAGGGTCAAGATGCGGTCGGCGCCACGAGCTGCATCCATTCTCCCCGATTCCGCGCCCTCAGCGGGCGTCCGCCCTGAGCTGCGGGGTCCCTGATCTCCTGGCACCTTGAGGTGGAAAGTGAGAAGGGTGGAGAAGGGTGTCTGTTCCACTGATTCCCCCTCCTCCTCCTCTTGGTCTCCTAGAGCTAAGGGCAAGTCCTAGAGGTTGGGCCCAGGAGAAAAAAGGCCAGGGGACATTGTCCCAGGTAGGATGGGTCCCAGCAGGAAAGGACAGACAGGTTACTTTCGCCCCCTTGATAGTCTCCCTGCTACTTTGGGTTGATGCAGGGAATTTCATGGAAGATCGTGCAGTGCTGCTTGCGAACAGGTATTTCTAGCAGTCATTTTGTTTATTTCCGAGTAATGTAATCGTGGTGTGTTTAGGCCATTTCTGTTGGAAAGTAATTGGCCTCTTCTTTGACTGTCCTAAATTATCTTTGAGCCCTGTGTTCAGCCTCAGCCAAAACTTGTTGAAAATTATGCCCTAAAAATCTTGCTCTTAAAATAGAGCAGAGAGATAAAGAGCATTTTTGTTGGGAGATTTCCATTTATTATCTCTGCCACCCCGTGGAGAAGGATTGGTGTCAGTTTTTACTCCTCGGGCAGTTAGTTTTTTAGATGGAAAGACAGTCCAGGCCATAGTTAATTGTCGCTCATCACTATAGGAGAAACAGAATTCAGACTCCTGCCCCACCCCCACCCCCAACCTCCTGACTTAGATTCTAGTCCTTTTAACAGCCCCGCTGTTTGGAACTGTTTTTGTTTTCTAAAGCACCTCCCCATCCTTCCTTTTCTCCACTTTATTATTTCTTCATTTTATTGATCTCTGTTTATTTTTTCTTTCTTTAACCCTATAATTTTTTTTACTCCGATTCTCTCTCGGTTGCTTCAAAGCTTGAGACTATTTAATGGAAAAACAAAACAAAACAAAACACCCGTCCTAAATAATTTGCAGGATGTTTAGAAACATAAGAGTAACTGTATATGCTGCCATTGGGGTAGCTGCACTTTCTGCCTCTTAGCTAGTCACTCTGTCAGGGTGTGGGGAAATGAGACAATGTTGAGAATGATAACTTGAGCAAATTTGCAGTAAGGAAATGAAAAGCTTTATCCAAGTCACTTTTTATTGTACTGGTGCTATGGAAAATGTGGTGAATGAGCATAGTTGTATTTTAATGCTGAAAAAAAACAGGACAGGTGAAGACAAATTTTTAAAGAAAGGATTGTAAATGAGTTAGAAAAGTGAGAAAGAGGATACACCAAAAATGCGAAAGAGTAAGACTGCAGGTGTGATAGAGGACATAGGACATCAGGAGATGTATTTATTCCTGCTGGGCCAGAAACCAGGACATTGAGGTAACTGAGACTTTAACATAACATTTAACATAACATAATATTTAACATAATATTTAACATAACATAACATTTAACATAACATAATATCAACATTGATAAATCACCTACCCCTTCAGGGCCCACATGTCTTTTCAACAAAAAGAGAAGTCTGATCTAGAGAATTATTCACTTTTTGTCCTGAATTTTTTTGATGCATTACATAACAAAGAATTTTTATGGCATCCTAAGTTACACTGCCAGACAATGTGGAGGCAGTGATCACGGACAAGACAAACATGGTTCTTCCCTCATGCAGCTTATTGTTCAATGAGAGAAATAGTAAACAGAAAAGAAACAATTATATAAAATATTACAAAATAAATTTAACAAGGGCTGAGTGAATTATTCTGCTATAGAGATGGAACAGTATATGAAAAGTTCCCAAGGTACATAAAGTGGTTGTTCTTTTCTCCTTCTAGAAGAGGATGCTGTGGGTGAACAATACAGATTAAGGTTAGAGAGGGGAAGCGGGGGCAAACTCATTCGGGACCTTTTATGTGATAGGAAGGTGGCTGTAGTTCTAAGTAAAGGAGCACTGATTTTAAGGAGAGACTTTTTATGATGATTTACATTTTAAGATGATCTTAGCTGCTGTGGAGATGGTTTGGAAAGGGTCCAAAGAGAAAGTAGGCTGACCCATTAGGAAATGTTTGCAGAGTCCAGGTGAGATGATAGAAACCTGAACTAGCCTGGTATTGGTGGAGAGGGATTTATGAAATATGTTGGAGAACAAGAGTTGGTGTAGGATTTTATGTCAAAACTGAGAGACAGCAAGGACTCAAGAATGACTCACAATTTTCTGATTGGAGCAACTGGTGGGTAATGGTGGCATTTACACATTTCCAGGCAAATGGGACCAGGTCTGGGTGGAAAAAGTTCAGGTTTGAACCTGTGAAGTTTGAGATGTCACAGAAAGAGGTCATAACCATATCCCCTGGGGAGGCAAAAAAGGGAGGCTCTCCAGGACATAAGTGAATAGACTGGTCTTTGATAGGTAAAGTTGGTGATTGTCAATTTAAGGTGAAACTAATGAGCTCAGTTTTCTGGTTTTTCTCCAGCAACCTTCACCAACGTGGATACAGATACAGAGAAAATGGATAGCTGGGTTCTTCCAGGACTAGAGTTTTGCCAAGCAGATATGATGGAGAGTAAGAGAGTTAAGGATCTTTTCAAGGGAGTGACTGTAAATCTAGTCTCGGTTTAAAGAGATACCAGAGTAGGCTGATGGAGAGTACAGGATATTAAGCAATTAGAGAGGTCGAGGTCAACAGATCAGATTTCTTTTGCTGTCTAGAATTATCAGTGTGGATATTTAAACTAAGATTATTGGAAGTCCTGCACATAGTGCTTGGAGATTTCAGGAAGTGAATGACTGAGGTGGGGTAGAGGCAAAAATTCATTACCTCCAATGAATAAGTCAAGGAAATAGCCCCTGAAGTTGAATGGTTCATCCACTTGAATGATAAAGTCCAGGAAAAACATGATGGTTATTGGGGTAGAGAGGATGACCATGTGTATACTGGGAGCCAGAGTCTGCAGTCATAAGGAATAAACTAGAAGTCAGTAGAGGACAGCAGTGAGGACAGCATTAAGGACAGGGAGAGGGTATGGTGAAGTACCATGAGTGGGTGTTTGCAGGAGAGACGATGAAGAAGAGATGTTCAGATGTGGGCCCACAAAGGGAAGGTTACGCCACCCCACCTCATGACCCTGGAGAGTTATGTTTTCTTGATGGCCTCTCCAAATCAGCAGGTTGTGAAATATCATCAAAACCTCTGCGGACAGCCCTTTCAGAGTTGCTGTCATCCAATAATAAACGTCCTATTTATGTGTGAAACAAATTAGGTTCTATTTTTCAAAATTAACATAGCACAACAGCTGCCATTCAGCTTCAGGAATGTTCAGGAAATCCTTCTAAACTGAAAACCTTAAGAGGCTGTCTAGCTGAGTGTAACTGAATTCCCTATCATAATAATACATTCTCAAGTATTAAATGTGTACAGCAAGTCAAATGCTCATTCAAGAAAACTATGTCCTTGACACACACTTTTAGATTGAGCTCCCGAAGTTGAAGTGTTAAATATAGGGTGGTGATATTACCATTATCACACAGCTTCAAGACTTATTTAGTGTTGGAAACTACCACCAGAGTCAAGTATAACCTATTTGTTTGCCGTTTAACAAAGGAAATGAAGACTCAAAGGATCAAAGTGATTGCAGAAACTTAGGCCTGCTCTTTTACCCCTACACCATGAAAACACAACTTTCTATAAATGACATAGTTGTTTTTTGTTTCTGTTTGTTTTTGTTTTTGTTTTGAGGCTGAGTCTCACTCTGTTGCCCAGGCTGGAGTCCAGTGGTGCGATCTCAGCTCACTGCAACCTCTGCTTCCCTGGTTCAAGCGATTCTCCTTCCTCAGCCTCCCAAGTAGCTGGGCACCTGCCACCACCCCTGGCTAATTTTTGTGCATTTTTAGTAAAGACGGGGTTTCATCGTGTTGGCCAGTCTGATCTCGAACTCCTAACCTCAAGTGATCCACCTGCCTTGGCCTCCCAAACTGCTGGGAGTACAGGCGTGAGCCACCACACCAAGCCTATAAATGACATTTTTATCAGTTATTTAATTTGGATTCCTTATGAATAACATCAAAAGAAAAGGTAGAGACACTATGGGCATCACCTGGGAGCTTGTGAGAAATGCAGAATGTCTAACCTCCCTCTAGACCTAGAGAATCTTAGTGTGCATTTAAAAAAGATCCCCAGGTGATAATATTTGCATTAAAGTTTGACAAGTGAGTCATTCCCTTAGAAACACCGGTCTGCTCAGGTCAGCAGGATCGTGATGTCTGGAGAACCAGGGAGGGGATCCCCTTATAGAACAGAAAGAAGAGATACAGTCATAGAAATATTCTGAATTTTGAATATTATGAAACAACAGGAACAAAGTGTGCTGTGCAAGGAGTGACGCATTTTAAGGAATGGCATTGCCCTTCCCAGAAAGTGGAGAGAGGAAATTGCAAAATAGTGAGTGGACCTTCTGATACTGCTCCTCCTTGAGTGGAAAAGGGGAAAGAACTGCATGCGTATTCAGCGTCCTGTATTCAAAGGTAACTGCTTGCTACTCTTTCACAATTGTAATTTTTCATTACTACAAACAACAATGTAAACATTAACATAAGTGAAGGTCAAAAAGCCACATCTACTATCGCCAAATGATTATTAGAATAAGTATTAGATTTAATTCTGAATCTTTTAGTAGAGTGATTTTCAATCTTGGTTGCATAATAAAACATCTGCTAATCTTTTTTTAAAAATGTTGTGGCTTAGGATGAACCCCAGACCAATTAAACGAAAACTGGATGGTGGGGGTGACCTGTGATCACTGTGTTTTAAAACTCCCTGGATCATTAGAGCATGCACCTAGGGTTGAGAAACACTGCTTCAGTAGCTACATTCAGAAGCAACTCTGAGATTGCAGTTCTGCTTCTCCATGTGCCAAAACAGTGTGACTCTCCCTCGCTACCATAAGCATAGTGCCAAGCCAGGACAGCAATATTCAGGTCACACTCACTGGCCAGTAGGGTTTTCAGAACCTTGAGGGAAGTAGGATTTATTTCTTGAAGAAGCCTGCTTACACTAACTTTTAAGACAAATTGATACATGTTACATATTTATGGGGTACACATGAGTATTTGTCATATCCGTACAATGTGTAATGATCTGGTTGGGATTTGGGGGGAATTCATCACCTTGAGTACTTATCATGTCTATGTGTTAAGAACATTTCAAGTCATCTCATCTGGCCACTTTGAAACACACAGTACATTGTCACTAACTATAGGCAACCTACTTTGCTATTGAACATTAGAACTTATTTCTTCTAACTGTACATTTGTATCCATGAACCAACATCTCTTCATCCCCTCCTCCCATCAACACATCCTTTCAGCCTCTGATATCTCTTATGCTAATCTTTACCTCCATGGGATCCACTTTTTTAGCTCCCACACACGAGTGAAAATATGCGGTATTTGCCTTTCTGTGCCTGGGTTATTTCACTTAACATAGTGGCCTCCACTCCTATCCATGTTGCTGCAAATGACGTGATTTCATTTTTTTAAGGCTGAATAATATTTCATTGTGTATACATAACACATTTTCTTTATCCTTTTGTTGATGGACATGTAGATTGATTCCGTATCTTTGCTAGTGTGAATAGTGCGCAAAGAAAAAAAAAACAAACAAACAAACAAAAAACCCTGAGGACAGGTATCTCTTTGATATACTAATTTCTTTTCCTGTGGATAATACCCAGTAGTGAGATTACTGGATTGTATGGTAGTTCTATTTTTAGTCTTTTGAGAAACAACCCCCATACTGTTGTCCACAGTGGCTATACTAATTTACATTTCCACCAACAGCGTATAAGGGTTCCCTTTTCTCTGAATCCTTGTCAGCATCTGTTGTTTTTGTCTTTTAATAATAGCAGTTCTAACTGGGATAAATTGAAATCTCATTGTGGTTTTGATATGCATTTCCCTGGTGATTAGTGATGCTGAGTATTTTTTCATATACCTGTTGACCATTTGTTTGTCTTCTTCAGAAAAATGTCTATTCATGACCTTTACCCATGTTTATGGGATTATTTGTTTTTTATTGTTGAGTTTTTTAGTTCATGTATATTCTGGATATTAGTCCCTTGTCAGATTATCGTTTGCAAAATATTTTCTCCTATTCAATAGGTTGTCTCTTCATTCTGTTGATGTTTCCTCTGTGCACAGAAGTCTTTTAGTTTTAATATTGTCCCATTTGTCTATTTTGTTGTTGTTGTTGCTTGTGCCTTTTGAGTCCTAGCCAAAAAAATCTTTGCCTAGACCAGTGTCTTCAAATTATTTCCCCCAATGTTTTCTTCTTGAATTATATAGTTTTGGGTCCTATGTTTAGTCTCTATGTTGACCTTGAGTTGATTTTGTTATGGTGAGGGCAGGAGTCCAGTTTTATTCTTCTGCATACAGATACTCAGTTCTCAAGTACCATGTATTTAAGAGATATCCTTTCCCAGTGCGTATATCCTGGTGCCTTTGTTGACAATCAGTTGGCTGTAAATGTGTGGGATTTTTTTTTTTTTCTTTTGTGGATTCTCTTAATCTGTTGCATTCATGGTCTGTGTGTCTGTTTTTATACCAGTGCCATGTTTTTTCGGTTACTATGCCTTGTACACATTTGAGCAGGGTTGTGATGCTGTCGGTTCTTTTTGCTTGGGATTGCTGTAGCTTTCGTTATTTTTTGGTTTTATGATTTTAGGATGCTTTTCTAATTCTATGAAAATGACATTTGTATTTGATAGGGATTGCTTGAATCTGTATATTGCTTTTGGTAGTATGGCCATTTTATGATATTATTCTTCCAATCCATAAGCATGCAATGTTTTTCCATTTGTTTATATCATCTTTAATTTCTTCTCTACATGCTTTGTAGTTTTCCTTGTTAGCAAATTTCACCTCCTTGGTTAAATATATTCCTAGTTTTTTGTTTGTTTTGTTGTTTTTATAGCTTCGTAAATGGGATTGCCTTCTTGGTGTCCTTTTCAGCAAGTTCATTGTTGTGTATAGAAATGGTACTGTTTTTGTATGTCGATTTTGTATCCTGCTACTTTATTGATTATTTATTCGATCTAAGAGTTTTTTTGTGGAAATCCTTTAGGTGTATCTAGATCTAAAGAATCGTTTCATCCAAAAGGCGGGACAATTCCTCCTGTTTTCCAATTGGGTTACCTTTTATTCTTTCCGTTTCCTGGTTGCTCTGGCTAGGACTTCAATACGATGTTGATCAGAAGGGTGAAAGTGGCTCCTTGTCTTATTTCTGCTCATAGGGGAAAGGCCTTTGAGCTTTTTCCCCTATTTCAAAATAAATGATAGTTTAATTATTATTTTATAGATCAATAAGCCCTTATTATGGTTGAAGCATATTTTTTTCTAGGCCTAGTTGTTGAAAGTTTATTCATGATGGGGATTGCTAAATTTCTAAATGCTTTTTCGTGCATCTATTGATGATGATCATATGGTTATGTTCCTTTCATTCTCTTTTAGGTGACTGTCTCACAGATTATTGAATTTGCTATGTTGACACATCTTGTATCCCCTGGATGTTGTCCTGGGAATAAATCCCGCTTTGATCATGATGTGTTTTTTTTAGATGAGTGTTATGATTTGTTTACTTCTACAGACAACACGACCACACACACACCACAACACTGTTTTTAGAGAAGTGTCTTGCTCTGTTGCCCAAGAGGAGGCGGTTATGTAAAATAGAATTCACTGCAGCCTTCACTTCTGCCGGTGCAAGTGATTCTCCTGCTCAGCTCCAAGTAGCTACACTCAGTGTGCCCACCAGCATGCTAAGTATTAATGTATGTGTTTGTAAGACCTGAGGTTCATTATGCCCAGTGGCTTAAACTCCTGCTTCAATCGATTCCTGCATTGCCTCCCAAAGTGCTGGATTACAGGCATGAGCCATCATGTTCTGGCCTTGGTTTGCTAGTATTTTATTGAGAATTTGTGTATTTGTGCTCATCAGGAATATTTAGTATGTAGTTTTCTTTTTGTTGAGGTGTTTGCCATTGGTATGAAGCTAATGCTGATCTCATAGAATGCGTTAGGCAGCATTCCCTACTGTTCAATGTTCGGAATAATTTGAAGAGAATTGGTGTTAGGTCTATTTTGAAAGTTCGAGAATTCAGCAGTGAAGCCATGTGGCCTGGACTTTTTTTATTGGGAGTTTTTAAATTACTGCCTCAACTTTTTTGTTATTGGTCTGTCCAGGTTTTCGTTTCTACCGTTCGAATCTTGGTAGGTTGTATGGTGTGTAGCCAATTTATCCATTTCCTCTAGGTTTTCCGTTTGTGGTGTGTGTTTTTATTAATAACTTCTACAGATCTCTACTGTAATCTCTGTGGTATCAATTTGTAATGTTTCCTTTTCCATTTCTGATTTTTTATTGGAGTATTTCCTCTTTTTTTCTTGGTTAGTCTAGCAAGTGCTTTATCGATTTTATCTTTTCAAAAAACAAAACTTTTTGTTTCATCCATCCTTTGTGTTGTTTTTTAAGTCCCAATTTGTCTAGTTCTGCTCGGATCTTTATTATTACTTTCCTTTTACCAATATGGGGTTTGGCTTGTTTTTGCTTTTCTAGTTCCTTGAGGTACATCATTACGTTGTTTATTTGAAATTGTTATGATTTTTTGGTATAGGTGCTTATTGCTATAAACTTCCATCTTAGCACTGCTTTTGCTGTATCTCATAGGTTTTGGTGTGTTGCATTTTTATTTGTATTTGTTGAGGGAAATTTTTTGATTTCTTCCTTAATTTATTCTTTGCCACCATAGTCATTTAGAAGCATGTTGTTTAATCATTTATTTTTACAGTTTCAAAAGGTCCTCATGTTACTGACTTCTAGCTTTATTCCATTGTGGTCTGAGGAAATACTTGATATGACTTTGATTTTTTAAAAATTTGTCAAGTCTTATTTTGTGTTCTAACATGGTCATTCTTAGAGAATGTCCATGTGCTGATGAGAATTTGTATTCTGTAAGTGTTTTATAAAATGTTCTGTGAATGTTTGTTAGGTCCATTTGTTCTAACGTATAGTTTAAATCTAATGTTTCTTTGTTAATTTTCTGTCTAGATTATCTGTCAGATGCTGGCAGGGGGTGTTGAAGTCCCCAACCGTTGTTGTATTGGAGTCTGTCTCTCCTTTTAGATCTGATAACATTTTATTTATATTAATATATCTGAGCAGTCTGTTGTTGGGTGTATATATGTTTAGAATTGTGATATCCTCTGGCTAGAATTGATCCATTATCATTATTTAATGACCTTCATTGTCTCTTTATACTGTTTTTGACTCAAACTCTGTTTTATTTGATATAAGTATAGTGACTTTTGGTTTCCATTTGCGTGGAATATCTTTCTCCATCCCTTTGCTTTCAGTCTTATATGTGTTTTTATAGGTTAGATGGGTTTCTTGTACCCAGCATACAGTTGGGTTATGATTTTTTATCTATTGCTAGTCTATATCTTTTAAGTGGAAAATTTAATCCATTTGCATTCGAAGTTATTCAACAATGAAAACTTCCCAAGTCTAGTGAGAGATGTAGACACCTAGATACAGGTAACTTAGAGAGATCTCCAAAAAGATACAATACAAAAAGGTCTTCCCCACAGCACATTATAGCCATATTGTCAAAAGTAAAAGACAAAGAGTGAATTCTAAAAACAGCAAGAGAAGAAAGACGAGTCAACTATAAAGGAACCCCCAGCAAACTAAAATTTTTACCTGTTCACATTCAGAAGGGGTTTGAGCTTGCTTTGTAAAATAAACAGATAATTAATGTTGTTTTGTTTTTGTTTCTGTTTGAAAAAGTCTTGATCATCATGATTGTTAGATTTAAAGATTTTGCAATTCTTATATTTTGGGAGATGCTACGGTATATACTCAGAAGAACTCTGGGCTGGGATATAGGAAACTTGGATTCCCTTGTGTGAATCTAGCAACCTTTTTTACCCTTAGATAATGCACATGATTACCATTAACTTTTGAATGAAGCGAGCATGGATTTCATTACTTCTGGTTTCTTTAACCGCTCTTGATTCCCAACATTGCCAGTGACATCTCCAAATGGATATTGACAGTTTTTTTCCTACCCTGGTACCTCTGACTCCTGCCTGCCCTTCTGGGTGCATGGACCACACCAAGGGAGTGGTCTGTCTTGAAAGGTGTGAAATGAAACATGTAATTGATTTAAAAATAGTAAAAGTTCTTCTTTCCCAGGATTGGTTACTCCTAGGTAACACTGAGGAGGAATGAAATGACCAAAGAAAAAGGAATAACATACTAATTTGAGTACAACTATAATTGTTACACCTTGATACTTATAACCCCAAGAAAATACCCTTTCCTAAACTCCATAAGTACACCTGAATAACACATGTCTCAGCTGGACTGACTACCTGGGTTCAAATCCTGGCTCCCCTGTTTTCTGTCTTTATGTCCTTGGATAAATTAATTATCTTCTGCAGGTCTCAGTTTCCTCATCTACAAAGTGGGTGTGACAGTATTAGCACCTGTCTCTTAGGGTAGTTGTGGGGATTCAATCAGTTAATACGTAAAAACCACAAGAGAGCTGAAATACATTATGTCCCATATAAACATTAAGTAATATTACTATAATTATTGTCTTTCTAAAGTTTAACATACTGATGTATTTGGAGTTACTGGATGTGACTCATTTCTAGGGTAAAAAGTTGAATTTTCCTGGCTCTAGTCATTTCAAATTTCATTTAGTAAACCAACATATTTTTGAAACATTCCACCTGTGCCTGTAAAGTCCATTAAATCCTCTGAAGTGGTCCACATCTGCTGTAAGCATAAAATAAATTGTGCAATGAGGGTAGAATGGAAGAGTATTTTTCTTTCAGACCCAATTTTGACACTAATTCATGGCAACCTGATTTGTATTCTTGAGCAAATTATTCCAAATATGAACATTTCAGATGTTAGTCTCTCAACTAAAACATAACTTGAGAGATTTTTTCCAGGAAGAATAACTGCATCATAGTTTATGCAGCCAACAAAACGGCGTCATGTTGAGGTCCAAAGGGCGTGGGTGGATAAGCAGAAAGAATACTCCAACGGCTGTAGGCAGGTGAAAGATGATTTTATTCAACAGCAACTCTCATCAACAACTTTCTCACACTGTCCATCCTGTCTTGGCTGCTTAGTCTGGTGGCTCCCACACACAGCTGCGGGGCCTGCTCTCCCTTGCCTTTGGAGTCAGCACCTTAACTATTTCAGTTTCTCTCTCTGGGCATGGGCAAGCCAAGCTGTGTCCTGGCTCCCCCTGTCCATCTGCAAAGACAGACAGCTCTGACTCTCTCTTTCTCTGGGCACAAGCGTGCCTGTACAGTGTCAGCAGGGCAATTATACCTTTTACAGACAATAGTGGTGAGCTTCTCTGTTATGTCTACATGGCTATGATAACAAGTGAAGTTATATGCCTGTGCTGTAAACTCACTCTGGATGCTTACCTCTGCCTGTCCTTGACCAAAGCACCGCCATGTTTCTTACAAAGGGGAAGAAAAAGAAAAAGATTTCATAAATATTATATAATTTAAGACCATAAGCATATTACTAATCCCTTTTTCCATAGGTAAGCTATCTTTCTCAATGATACATTGTAAGATCTAGAGCGAATGATAGAGAAGTCCATGGTATTTACTCTTTTGTTACATTTTGATGCCTATTTTTCTTAAGATATTATTTAAGTGCCAGGGTTCATTGTTAGCTGATTTATCTAGCTCTCATTTAATGATAGTCACTAGCTACTGAAGTATATAGGGAACTTTATAACCTCCACCTCAAATGACTCTAGACAGTTTTGGTTTAAATGGCTTTTTAAAAAATGGCTCTTCTTTCTTCTCTTGTCTTGTGATCCATCACTTAGTATCACAGTCCTCTCTGCCTCTAGCAGCATTTGTGATTTGCTGCCTCTGATCTGCTCAGAAGCTGGGTAATCATGCTTGTTACAAGTGTGTTTTTCAAAAAAGTTCTGAATGAAAACCTCAGTCCCTTTTCTCATGTGCTCTAGTGAGGTAGGAGGCAGATCTTGACTCCAGAGGCAAGGTTCAGACACTGGACCAAACTGAGGTCAGGGCAGAAGCACCTCCCCATAAGACATGCCCATCAGTGTGCCATGTCAGTTTACTACTGCCATGGCAATGCCCAGAAGTTACCACCCCTTTCCATGGCAACAGCCCAACAACCCAGAAGTTACAACCCTCATCCTAGAAATTTCTGCATAAATCACCCCTTAATTTGCATATAAATAAATTAGGTTTAAATATGAGTGCAGAGCTGCCACTGAACTGCTACTCTAGGCACACGGCCTACGGGGTAGGCCTACTCTGTAAGGAGCAGTACCTCTGCTGCTGCTGTAAACTGCTGCTGCTGTAAACTGCTGCTTCAGTAAACATTGCTGTTTAACACCACCAGCTTGTCCTTTAATTCTTTCCCAGGCAATGCCAAGTACCCTCCTGAGCTAAACCCCAATTTGGGGACTTTCCTGTCCTGCGTCACTAGTGCCTTGCTGCTCAAAGAGGGGTCCTCAGACCAGCACTGGTATTGCTTTCATTAGAAATGCAGAATGTCGCGCCTCCTTCCAGACCTACTCAATCAGAATCTTTATTTTAACGAGATTCCCAAGTGATCTGTGTGCACATTAAAATTTGAGAAGCCCCACTTTAGCACATCACCTTTGTGACAGTTAATTTTCCTATTGAGATGCTTTTTTAAAAAACGAAAGATTTATATGATATGAAGAGAAACCAGAATAGTGATCCTTTTTTAGTTTACAAATTGTGTCTTACTGTGCTCTATGTTAAAGTGTGGTGAAATATTTTACCTCTAGAAATACACATTATTACAATATCTAGAAGTGTTTTAATGTTCAGTAATAGGTAACTGATGAACATTTTATTTTCTCTCCCCTAGGATATTTTTGGTGATCTTGGAAGTGTCTGTATCATGGAATCAATCTCTATGATGGGAAGCCCTAAGAGCCTTAGTGAAACTTTTTTACCTAATGGCATAAATGGTATCAAAGATGCAAGGAAAGTCACTGTAGGTGTGATTGGAAGTGGAGATTTTGCCAAATCCTTGACGATTCGACTTATTAGATGTGGCTATCATGTGGTCATAGGAAGTAGAAATCCTAAGTTTGCTTCTGAATTTTTTCCTCATGTGGTAGATGTCACCCATCATGAAGATGCTCTCACAAAAACAAATATAATATTTGTTGCTATACATAGAGAACATTATACCTCCCTGTGGGACCTAAGACATCTGCTTGTGGGTAAAATCCTGATTGATGTGAGCAATAACATGAGGATAAACCAGTACCCAGAATCCAATGCTGAATATTTGGCGTCATTATTTCCAGATTCTTTGATTGTCAAAGGATTTAATGTTGTCTCAGCTTGGGCACTTCAGTTAGGACCTAAGGATGCCAGCCGGCAGGTATGTATTTTACATTTTTATTCTTATGTATCTGGTATTTTGTAGTTAAACAGCTAAGCAAATATCAAACATTTTAAAACCAAATTCTGACACTTTCCAATGATTATCATTTGAAAATTAATTATGAGCACCTGAAAATTAATGTCCTGACCTTGTAAGGGCACATTCCCATTCCCAAAATGATGTGGAAATCTGGGAAAATAATGTGAACTTCATCCAGTTCAACTTGAGAATAAAGCAGATGGGGAGCTCGGTCAACACCATTGTGGAATGAGCTTTTATAAGTAAACACATAAAATATGTTAAAAAAAATTTTTAAATGTGCTTATGCATTATAATTAAGCATGATTATAAAACATTTTTATTGTTTTTGTCCGTAAAGACAGTTGATTCGATTTCTTAGAAAATAAGTTTAAGTATTATATCATTGTATGCTGTATATCAGAGTCATGATAACCATTTACTTTCCAGTCTTTGTTTTAATGACTAGTAAAAGAACATATGCTTTTCTACAGGCTATTTCTGAATCTTTTTTTTCTTTTGCATATCCACCAAAGTTTAGCAGTAGATATAGAATAAGCAAATTAGAACCAGGACCTGTGAGACAAACCTGAATTTAATCATATACCCATATTTATACCAAATTTAAATTTTTAACAGAAAAAAATGTGGAACAGTGATGAAATTCAAAATAAGCTACAAAATAGTCTAAATTTGTATTTTGTAGTGTTTGTGCCTTTATTTTGAATGTTTGGTTTATTTTTAGACTTATTATATCATATTATGTCATATTATAATTTATACAAAATTTTTTCCAAATGAGTTTTTAAAAAAATTTATTCCACCATTGTCACAACTGTAATAAATTAATTTAGAATACTTTTTTCTTACTTCTGTTATAAAAGGACCTCTATTTTAAAAGTTCATAAATGATTATATAATATTCATTCAAATAGGATTTGTCATTCATCTAGCTAATGTTATCTGAGATTAATAATCCAAAGAGTGTTATATTGTCACCATTACATAAATAGAAACATGCAAATATTTCCATGTGGTCTATTTTAGAGTCCTTATACAAACATCTTTAGGGATATATTTGGAATTTGTTTTCCCCAAACATTACTTAGAGACTTTATAGCAATATTTTTCTAGCCTTGAAAGAGGTGGCCTACCCATTAGTAATAGCAGCTCACTCCAGTAGTGAACTTGGGGCTCAATAAATACTTGTTGAATTTTCAACTATATTATAGTATCTAACAGATTTCGATAGTTTGAAAGCCTACCCTTGCCTCCACCCATCACGTCATTAGAGTTTCTGTAAAAGTAATATCTTTGTCTTAGAAAAGGACAGTTGCTTTTCTATTTAAATTAACTAAGCCTTGTAATTTTTTTACTTGCCAGGTATATCATCATTATTTAGAGATGAAAGAATTTAATATACTGACCAATGAAATAGTATACCTGAGATTATTATGGTTTTTCTCAGATACTTGATGTATTGGTTTCTAAACCTAAATTTTATTTAAAATCTCATTAAATTTTATTAAAAAATACAGCATCATGACATAATTTAAAGGTTTTAATTGCAGATGGCCATCCAAAGTGCATGCCCACTTCCAGTCATGCTAAATATCTGTAAAGGGCAGTGTTTGCACTCATACTACTAGACAGAACTGCTACAGTGCTAAAACTACATATTGTTCATGACAGCAGGGAGTGCCAGCCCCACACTGTCCCCTGTGGGAATTAGAGAGGTGGAGTGGGGCAGGTGCATGACCAGCACCTCAAAGTCCACCTAAACCCCTGGAGAGGAGGCCTTACCCGGCTGCTGCTACTGAACCATGCCTAGAAGAGTACACTTTTCTTTCCACCTGCCCCCCTCCCACCTGGGGGATCCCCTCTGACGCTCGAGGTTGCAGCTACATTTTCCTGCATTTTATTGTCCTGTTATCATAAGTGGTAAGGACTTTTTTGTTCTCATGACACTGTTTAAAACCTATTAATAATAGGTTAATACATTCATAAATGCCTTATCTCCTGAACTTTAACCATTTGCATCACTCAGGTATCATCACAGGTGATGCTCCGTAAGTGGAGCATGCGATTGCTACCATTTTTATAAACAACAGTGGTAATGCTGAGTCTTTTTATTTTTCCCACAGGTTTATATATGCAGCAACAATATTCAAGCCCGACAACAGGTTATTGAACTTGCCCGCCAGTTGAATTTCATTCCCGTTGACTTGGGATCCTTATCATCAGCCAGAGAGATTGAAAATTTACCCCTACGACTCTTTACTCTCTGGAGAGGGCCAGTGGTGGTAGCTATAAGCTTGGCCACATTTTTTTTCCTTTATTCCTTTGTCAGAGATGTGATTCATCCATATGCTAGAAACCAACAGAGTGACTTTTACAAAATTCCTATTGAGATTGTGAATAAAACCTTACCTATAGTTGCCATTACTTTGCTCTCTCTGGTATACCTAGCAGGTCTCCTGGCAGCTGCTTATCAACTTTATTACGGCACCAAGTATAGGAGATTTCCGCCTTGGCTGGAAACCTGGTTGCAGTGTAGAAAACAGCTCGGATTACTAAGTTTTTTCTTCACTGTGGTCCATGTTGCCTACAGCCTCTGCTTACCAATGAGAAGGTCAGAGAGATATTTGTTTCTCAACATGGCTTATCAGCAGGTACTGAACATGCTGGTTATTTATCTGATGCTAGTAAAATACTTTTTATTAGTATAAATTATAAAACATAAAATTTTACATGCCTTTTAATGGAAATTTGATTTTTGTATACTATGGAAGGGGAAATAATTGTTCTTTAAACAATGTTTTCGCATAAGAATTATGTGGCTAATTCAAAATTATTTCAAGTAAAGGCTGCTACCATCCTTTTCCTTACAGAATAAAAGCAGAAACGTAGAGGGTTGGGTTCTCCCCTTTTTTCAATGTTATAATTGCAATGAGTGCTTTCAGTATTCAACAATTCATTATTTTAATGTTTTATAATTGGTCGTGCTCCACAAAATGATGAGGCAACTCTCAGTAAATATATACGATAAAATTAGAACTGGTAAAAATACAAAACAGAACAGGAAGACAAGATCAGGAGAAAAAAGTCGAATACACCTCTGCTGAGAGTGTCTGCATAGCTTCTCTTTTGGCTTTGAGATTTTCAACACAATGAGAAAGGAGACCCTATTATTTACAAAGCTCTTGTTATCAAAAACCAGAAAACATAATAGTTCCACGGGTGAAGCTTTTCTAGCACATAGCTCCCAAAAAAAAAAAAAAAAAAAATCTTAGGGAGCACTTCATGGAAGGGGTTTGATGATGAGCTAGACTATGGTTTTCCTCCATAATTCCCAATCCACAAATGTAATTTAAGGGGTTTCCCTGAAGCTGTTTGGTATAGCATTTCTCAATGAAAGCCAAGAACATTGCACCAAAACAAATGTGTAAAAGCATGTGCATTTTGTAAGGATTGAAGGCATCATAGTCCGAGTATGTGGCATCTAGTACTTAAGCTTGTTTCAACAATAAAACCTAAAATAATATTTTTCTAATTAGTAGATTGATAACCTTTAAGCCATTCACTTTCTGAAAAAAAAAAAAAAAAAAAAACTCTTAATGAGATACTAAGGCTTTTATAGTTGCTCAGTTGGCTTCCTTACCTCCTTCCAGTCATTTGCCCAGATCTCACCTTTTCAGTGAGTCCTACGCTGGATACCATTTTAAATGCTGCTGCCTCCACCCCAACCAGTATTCCAAATCCCGCCGACTTACCCTGCTCTACGTTTCTTTTTTAAAAAACGCTTACCATCTTCTAACACACTTGATTTCCATGTTAAAAATACATTTACCAGTGTTTGCCTTCCCCCATCAGAATGTAAGTTCATGAGAAGAGGGATCTTTGTCCATCTTTTTCACTGATACATACCCAGTGCCTAGATCTGAGCCTAGACATTGTAGACACTCAAACAGCCCATTTGTGGGATGAATGAATGAACTGGGAGAGCAGGTAGATCCAGGTTGTAGTCTCTGAGTACACTGGGTAATGCTGTTATTCTGTATTGTATAGATATCAAATAAGAAGATGGTAGGTTGAACTCTGGGGCCTCTTTCAAGATAATGGTATGATTGCCTCAGGGAACTAATGGTTAAGAAGCAGCTTTTTGTTGTTGTTAAATTTTAAGTATGTTTTGTTAACTGGAATTGAACAAAGTTAAACTGTTGTTAAGTTAGAATCTGTTTTCCATTAATAGATACTTATTTAAATAAAAAATTTCAGCTGATGGAGTCCAATACTTGATTTATACTCTAATTATATTCTGAGTGTAAATAGAACTTCTAAAGGTAGTCCCTACACAGAATACCACAAATTCAGAGTTAACTGTCTGACTTGATTATATACATATTATCAATGTAAGTAAAAGATGTTTGGAAAAATACTGCATATAAATGACACAGTCAGAGAGTTGGGAATCATATTAAATTAGGCAGTTCAAGTGGAGAAATATTTGAGCTCCATTGGCCGTTATAGCCAGGGAAATCATAGCTTTCTAGGAAGAGAAGATGAGAAGAAAGACAAAACAGAGATATATTATTCATGTGATGGAAGAAGATACTGACGTAGTTTAGAAATTCCCTGCCTGGATCCAAGTTGAACTAAGGCCAGACTGTATCCCAGATATTCAACCAAGTTTAAACCAGCTTGTAAAAGTACTTCGAAACTAAGTTTAACTCCAGTAACTTCTTTTGTGTCACCCTAGAACCAACCACTAGGCATTTTATGGTGTTGGACTCCAGAGTCCCTGTAATGATGATGTATTACAAATGTGATGGCAAAGCTTTGCCCCTTTATTCTAGCACATATACAAGGAAAGAGAAAGTTTTGTCCTCCTTTTGTTTAATTCTCTTTTCCCCTACACCTGGAGCAGTATCATCCAGTAACATGTTCTCTATAATGGTTTGTTAGACTGAATTAGTGCAACTTAAATATGTCTATATATGACCAGGTTCTTCTTATGCCAAGAGTGAACTCTGTGCTGAATCAGTTAATGTTCTACTAAACAAAGGAAGTTCACATTTGCTTTCTTGTTAGGTTCATGCAAATATTGAAAACTCTTGGAATGAGGAAGAAGTTTGGAGAATTGAAATGTATATCTCCTTTGGCATAATGAGCCTTGGCTTACTTTCCCTCCTGGCAGTCACTTCTATCCCTTCAGTGAGCAATGCTTTAAACTGGAGAGAATTCAGTTTTATTCAGGTATGTGGGGTTTTATTTGGTCAAGGACTGTGCAGGATAGGATTTCCTTGTTAAGAACAACTGAATTTTAAATATTTTCCTTATAAAAAGGGTGCCTTTGAGAGTGTATTTATGCATCTAGATACATTATGCTGGAAGGCAGCTTAGGACTGCTCTGGTTAAGTAAGTGAAACACCAGTCAGTATATGATTGTACTGGAAGACTTTGACAGCACTGCCTTCCAGTATACTATGTTAAGAATGAAAAGTTATCTTAAAAGAGAAAAAAAAAATGAAAGTGGGGAAGGATGAGCTTAGATCAAATTTAATGTTGAAAGTCAATTTATTATTAGCCAAGTTAATGAAAAATTATTTTATGTTTTGAGTCATCTTGATCTGTCCAGAAAAATCTTATTAATTTGAACTCAAGTGGGAGTGTCAATCTGAATATTTTAAAGAAATGTGTGTGTATATACACACACATACAAACACAAGCAGTAGCAAACTAGGTAACTAGATTAATGGATTATAACATGCAGCCAGCCTTAAGAATTTTGTTAGTACAGGTATTTAGTGTATCAGTAGTACACTAATATGTATGGATGTCTGTAAAGGGATTTCAAACCACCATTGTATTTAATAAGTTAAACATTCACCCTTCTCCAGTAGTATCTAAATAATAAGGTTGCATATTTTAAAAATACATAACTGAAACATGGACCCTTCTTGTATTTTTACAAAATCTGTACTGGTTGTATCCAAATGGTTTACAGCACAGTAGATAAATTCATGTCCTTTGGTGGTACACTTAAGTTTTGTTTCATTTCATTGCTTATTTGCTTGTTTTTTTTAAGGTCATGTAAAAATCTCATTCAAAGCAGGGCCATAGTGCTTATCTGAATTTATTTTTCCTTTTCAAAGAAAAGGGAGAGTACTTTCCCAATAGCTAGTTTAAACATACCTGAAAAGAAATAGAAGGTTCTAGACAGATGCAAATTATCATTATAAATTTAGATGAGTAATTGCAAATATTTTGCCTGCCGGAGGGTTGATATTTTCTCAGTAAAGTTAGACATTACATCATTATATGGATGTAATATTACTTTTATATAACAGACTGTTTTTCAAAGTAAGCAGTCTTAAACATAATAATTTAGCAAACTAAAGAATGGTGATCTTTTAGAATTTAACCTGTAAAGTGCCTAACTGAAGTATTCTTATTAAACTCTGTATTTGAATTATTGTTTATATTAATACTGCAGGATTTTTCATACTTGCCTATTAACCAGTGTGTATATGTGTGTGTGTGCCCATGAGGATGCTCATTTAATTTTAATTTAATTTAATTAATTTTAATAATTTTAAATGAGTTTATTTAATTTTATCATATATCTGTTTATGTATTAACAGGTATGTGTCATCTAACAATGGGGAACATTCTGAGCAATGAGGCAATTTTGTCACATGAACATCATAGAGCATATTTATACAAACCGTGACCTATTGCTCCCAGGCTACAAACCTGTACAGCATGTTACTGTACTGAATACTATATGCACTTGTAACACAATGGTAAATATTTCTGTACCTAAACATATCTAAACATAGAAAAGGTACAGTAAAAATAGGGTATATAATCTTGTGGGACCACTGTTGTATATGCAGTCCATAGTTGACCAAAATGCCCTTATGTGGCACATGACTGTATTTATGTGTATGTGTACACACACACTCACACACACACATATATACACACACACATTTCTTTAATACACAACTGGTGGAAATGTGAATAATTTTTATAAAGAAGAGTTTAGCAGTATGTATCAGTACCCTTAAGGAAAAGCTAGATGTTTTGACCAAGAATCCTGCTATTAGAAACCAGTCCTAAGAAAATAAATCAAAATATGGAAAATGGCCTAACATGACATTTATAGTTGAGGAAAATTGGAAACAGTAAATTATCAACAAAAAGGAATGGTTGAATAAATTATGCACATCCATTCAATAGAATATTATACAGTATTAATGTCATCTTCATACTTAATGACATGAGGAAAATGTTCTTGATAAAATAAATGAAGTAGTAAGAATATTGAAGTGTATGCAATCGCGCCTCATTTGTGTAACATAAGGTGTGCATATAAATAATACATATAATGCATATATAAAAATATTAAAATTGTTTAATTCAGTAGAGGACAAAGGTTAACTTGATAATTTAAGACAAAATAGTTTTATCAAAATATAAACATGGTATATCTTGAACTTAATTTATGGGTTTCAGTCATTTGTTTCTTATTCTTTGTTTCTTTTCCTTTCTCTCCTGGCCCAAGTCTACGCTTGGATATGTCGCTCTGCTCATAAGTACTTTCCACGTTTTAATTTATGGATGGAAACGAGCTTTTGAAGAAGAGTACTACAGATTTTATACACCGCCAAACTTTGTTCTTGCTCTTGTTTTGCCCTCAGTTGTAATTCTGGGCAAGATCATTTTATTCCTTCCATGTATAAGCCGAAAGCTAAAACGAATTAAAAAAGGCTGGGAAAAGAGCCAATTTCTGGAAGAAGGTATTGGAGGAACAATTCCTCATGTCTCCCCAGAGAGGGTCACAGTAATGTGATGATAAATGTTGTTCACAGCTGCCATATAAAATTCTACTCATGCCATTATTTTTATGACTTCTACATTCAGTTACAAGTATGCTGTCAAATTATTGTGGGTTGAAACTTGTTAAATGAGATTTCAACTGAATTAGTGATAGAGTTTTCTTCAAATTAATTTTCACAAATGTCATGTTTGCCAATATGAATTTTTCTAGTCAATATATTATTGTAATTTAGGTATGTTTTGTTTTGCCCAACTGTAACCCTATTGTTACTTTATATTTCATAATCAGGCAAAAATACTTACAGTTAATAATATAGATACAATTTTAAAAACAATTTGCAAACCAGCAGAATTTTAAGCTTTTAAAATAATTTAATGGATATACATTTTTTCTGAAGATTAAGATTTTAATATTCAACTTAAAAAGTAGAAATGCATTATCATATGTTATTTTTAAGAAAGGACATATTATATTAGCATCTAGGTAAGGGTGCATGATAGCATTCCTATATTTCTCTCATAAAATAGGATTTGAAGGATGAAATTAATTATATGAAGCAATGTGATTATATGAACAGACACAAATTAAAAAGACAAATTAAACCTGAAATTATATTTAAAATATATTGGAGACATGAAATACATACTGATAATACATACCTCATGAAAGCTTTTATTCTTTATTGTGTTACAGAGCAGTTTCATTTTCATATTAATATACTGATCAGGAAGAGGATTCAGTAACATTTGGCCTCCAAAAGTGCTATCTCTTAATACAGTACCAATCCTGGGAATTGTATAATAGTTCATACTTAGAACAAAAGTATCAAGTTTGCACACAAGTAGTCTGTCAACTGACCTTTGTCGCACCTTAACCAGTCACCACTTGCTATGGTATGGGATTATACTGATGTTCTTTGAGGGACTGTGATGTGCCAGGCATGGTTCTAAGTACTTTACTTGTATTATCTCATTTAATACTTAGAACAACCCCGTGAGATAAGTAGTTATTATCTTCATTTTACATATGAGGGACCAAAGGATAGAAAAGTTATTTTCCAAAGGTCATGCAGTTAATAAATGGTGGAGTGAGCAATCAAGTCCAGGTAGTCATATTCCAGAGGCCACGGTTTTAACCACTAGGCTCTAGAGCTCCCGCCGCAGCCCTATGCATTGTGTTCACAATGCCAATCTAGATGCTTTCTCTTTTGTATAAAGTCACTGACATTCTTTAGAGTGGGTTGGGTGCATCCAAAAATTGTATAAAAATATTATTATAATAAACTTATGACTGCTTGTAGGGTAATTCACAGTTACCCTATTCTTGGTTGTAACACGAGCCTGGAGACCCGTGGCAGTCCATATGCCTCCCTATGCAGTGAAGGGCCCTAGCAGTGTTAACAAATTGCTGAGATCCCATAGAGTCTTTCAAAAATCTCTGTAGACCTGATCTTCTCCTTTTCTCTTCCTGAGAAGTTCTCCTGCCTGCATAACCATTCATTAGGTAGCAATTTACAAGCATGAAGGATATTAGGGTAAGTGGCTAATTATAAATCTACTCTAGAGACATGTAATCATACAGATTATTCATAAAATTTTTCAGTGCTGTCCTTCCACATTTAATTGCATTTTGCTCAAACCATAGAATGTCCTACATTCCCCCCACCCCCATTTGCTATTTCTTTATTAAAATAGAAAATTATAGACAACATACAATTATATGCATTCCTCTTCCTGAAATTATAACATTTCTAAACTTACCCACATAAGTACTACTGAATCCAGCTGCCAACAATAAAAAGACTTTTATTTAGTAGAGACTACCTTTCCCACCAGTGGCTCTTTTCCTACAACTGCATTGTCAGTTTGGTAATTCACTCATGATTCTCTAATGCTCTTCTCTTGGTGAATTTTATTATCTTGTACTTTCTAACTGAGCTCTCTCTTTTCTTTATTTTAATTATATTTCTCCCCACTTGATAATCACTTGTTAGTTCTTGGTAGGAATTCAGTTGGGCAATGATAACTTTTATGGGCAAATACCTAAACATTCTATTATAGTGAACTAATGAAAATAACAGCATATTTTCAGTATTTTCTTGTTCCTTAAATTCCAGTTAACACTATGCTTAACCGTTTAATGTGAAAACGAAATGAAATATTCCTAAAAGTCAGATGACTATTAAAGCATATATTGTTGCATGTATGTATTAAGTAGCCAATACTCTAAAAATATCACTGTTACAGATAAATGAGGCCTTTAAAAATATGAAAAACAAACTTTTGTGAAAATGTATAAAAGATACATCTGTTGTTTCGAATGGCACTATCTTCTTTTCAGTACTACAAAAACTGAATAATTTTGAAGTTTTAGAATAAATGTAACATATTTACTATAATTCTAAATGTTTAAATGCTTTTCTAAAAATGCAAAACTATGATGTTTAGTTGCTTTATTTTAATTCTATGTGATTATTTTTCTTAATTGTTATTTTTTTATAACCATTATTTTTCTGAACCATTCTTCTGGCCTCAGAAGTAGGACTGAATTCTACTATTGCTAGATGTGAGAAAGTGGTGATGAGAACCTTAGAGCAGTGGAGATTTGCTACCTGGTCTGTGTTTTGAGAAGTGCCCTTTAGAAAATTAAAAGAATGTAGAAAAGATACTCAGTCTTAATCCTATGCAAAAAGAAAAAAAATCAAGTAACTTTTTTCCTGTGAGGAAAATAACCATGAGCTGTATCATGCTACTTAGCTTTTATGTAAATATTTCATATGTCTCCTGTATTAAGAATATTTAAAATCATATTTAAATAGGAATATATTCATGCTAACATTATTTTTCAAAATATACATGGAAATTTAGCCCAGATTGTCTACATGTAAGGTTTTTATTTAAACTGTAAAATATTTAAAAGTATGAATAAAATATATTTATAGGTATTTATCAGAGATGATTATTTTGTGCTACATACAGGTTGGCTAATGAGCTCTAGTGTTAAACTACCTGATTAATTTCTTATAAAGCAGCATAACCTTGGCTTGATTAAGGAATTTTACTTTCAAAAATTAATCTGATAATAGTAACTTAAAGCATATTATACTTTCATTACAATCAAATTATAGAAATTACTTGTATAAAAGGGCTACAAGAATATACACAATTTTAAAATATTTTCATATATCTCCTATCTAATATGATAACTTAATTCTAATAAATTACCACTTGCCATTAAGCTATTTCATAATAAATTCTGTACAGAGTTTCCCCCCAAAAAAGAGATTTATGTATGAAATATTTAAAGTTTCTAATGTGATATTTTAAATAAAGTATCATAAATGTAGTAAGTAAATATTTATTTAGGAATACTGTGAACACTGAACTAATTATACCTGTGTCAGTCTATGAAATCCCTGTTTTGAAATAAGTAAACAGTCTAAAATGTGTTGAAATTATTTTGTAAATCCATGACTTAAAGCAGGATACATACATAGTATAACACACCTCACAGTGTTAAGATTTATATTATGAAATGAGATGCCCTACCTTCAATTGTTCATCAATCAGTAAAACAAATTCTGATATATATTCAGTACAAATGATTAGCCCTGAATGAAATGTAATAATTTCAGTGGAAACTCAATCTGTTTTTACCTTTAAACAGTGAATTTTACATGAATGAATGGGTTCTTCACTATTTTTTTAGTATGAGAAAATTATACAGTGCTTAATTTTCAGAGATTCTGTCCATATACTAAAAATGTTTTGTTCAGCCTAACATACTGAGTTTTTTTAACTTTCTAAATTATTGAATTTCCATCGTGCATTCATCCAAAATTAAGGCAAACTATATGGATTCTTCCAGTGGCCAGATGAGCTAAATTAAATCACAAAAGCAGATGCTTTTGTATGATCTCCAAATTGCCAACTTTAAGGAAATATTCTCTTGAAATTGTCTTTAAAGATCTTTTGCAGCTTTGCAGATATTCAGACTGAGCTGGAACTGGAATTTGTCTTCCTATTGACTCCTTTAAAAGCTGCTGCCCATTACATTCCTGAACTGTCCTTGCAGTTAGGTGTACATGTGACTGAGTGTAGGCCAGTGAGATGAAGTCTCCTCAAAGGAAGGCAGCATGTGTCCTTTTTCATCCCTTCATCTTGCTGCTGGCATTGTGGATATAACAGGAGCCCTGGCAGCTGTCCCCAGAGAATCAAGGCCACACCCAAAGAGGAAGGCAGATTAGAGACCAGAAAGACCTTGACTACTTCCCTACTTCCACTGCTTTTTCCTGCATTTCAGCCATTGTAAATCTGGGTTTGTTACATGACGTGAAAATTAATCCTTTCTGCCCTACAGTTCTTTATCCTGATACTGTTTAACACTGTCTGAATTAACTAGACTGCAATAATTCTTACTTTTGAAAGCTTTTAAAGGATAATGTGCAATTCACATTAAAATTGATTTTCCATTGTCAATTAGTTATACTCATTTTCTTGCCTTGATCTTTCACTAGATATTTTGTATCTGCTTGGAATATATTGTCTTCTTTTTAACTGTGTAATTGGTAATTACTAAAACTCTGTAATCTCCAAAATATTGCTATCAAATTACACATGTTTTCTATCATTCTCATACTGCCTTATAAACATTTAAATAAAAAGTAATTTAATGCTTTAACTTCTGTTTTGAAATGTTGTATACACGTGGATTTTTTTCTTACTGAATAATAATTCCAGTATTTGATGGAGGCCTTCTAATAATTTTCTGAGTTATTTCTTTTCAGAAGCATCCAGAAAGCAATACACGTGATAGTTTTGGAGGGGTTTGGTTTGTTTTTACTGAAGTAGTCATTTAGAAAAACCTCCATTTACATTGATTTTATTACATTATTTCATTTTACTAGCATTCATTAAGCATCTTTAAATCAGAACACACACAATATTCAAGCTATTCTGTAAACCCCCTGGTAGCAGAAATTTTATCTTATTTACTACTAAATCCCCAGTATCTAGTATAATATGGTCTATGATGGATACTAAAGAGATTTTATAATAAATCATTACTCATTTTTATAGCAAATTATGTTTTTTATTACCCCACATCCATGCAGCCATGCCTAAAACCTTTTGCCTCTTCCTCATGCCCTTCCCATCACTGCTTCTGCCTCATGCCTTGCCTCCTGGCCAGTGGCCTAGCGCTACCCTATTGTCCTAAAGAGGAGTTTCTGCTGCTGCTGCCACTACCACCACCGCCACACTGCTATATGTTGATGAGTCCTGTACACGGTGCCATTGACAAGGAGAAACTGACCTTTGTACCTGTGCACCAGATCTGTCCGTGGAGGTTCTGGCTTCCCCAGCTGCTGCCTGGAAATGCTTAGGTGCTAATATCCTGAGAGTAGGATTGTCAGGTAAAATACAGGACTCTCAGTTAAATTTGAATTGCAGACAAACAAGAAATTACTTTTTATTATAAGCATGGACTTTTTTAACTTTTTCTAAATCTGGCAACCCTACTTAAGGAGTGAACTTTGAACAAGGAGATACAGCACAAAATGAAGCTAGCAGATAAATTCTCCCTTCCTTTCCCCCAGATAGGCTGTTCTAAAGTGCAGTAATTCAGAAGACCTTCATGAAAATCTCCTCAAAGACCGAGCAATTAACTGCACTTGTTGCCACCTATAACCAGCTCAGTAACACCTGCGTTTGTGTTCCCTTCTCCTAGTGCCTCACTTCCATTTTTTTCCTCACTTCTGTTTCTCAGAGATAGTACTCCCCATAGAGTGGCAGCAGGTGAATGTTGGTGTTTATTTATGGCAGGCTTGGGGAACCTAGACTAGTACAGTACTTTAGGTAGTGGATTCTTCTAATGGGAAGTGAAACAAGAGACAAATGATGACTTTGAGAAAGTCAGGCACAGGACCCTGCAGACTCAAAATCCAGATTTGTTAAGACCCCTGAGAGAAGAGAAAACCCTCATGGGCAGATTCACATTGATCAAATGTACAGTGATACACTGTTAAATCAGAATAGTAACTTAGTACTACTGTGTGAAATATCAGTGTCCTGTAGTCAAGAATACCATTTGTGCCTTAATTAAACATACTCTTTTCTTGAATCTGCTGTTTATAAGAATTCAAGTTATAATTCAAAATATATTGGGATCTGTTATGGGCTGAATTGAATTTCCTCGAAATTGATACATTGAAATCCTAACTCCCACACTACCTCAGAATGTATTTGGTGACAGGATCTTTAAAGAGGTGAAGTGAGGTCATACAGTTGGGCCCTAATCCAATATGATTGGTGTCCTCATAGGAAGAGGAGATTAGGAATCAGGCATGCACAGAGGGAAGAACATGTGAAGTAAAAGGGAGAAGACGGCACGCCAAGGAGAGATGCCTCAAGATGAAATCAATCCTGCCAGCACCTTAGTCTTCAACTTCTAGCCTCCAGAACTGTAACAAAATAAATTTCTGTTGTTAAAGCCACCCAGTCTGTGGTATTTGTTACAGCAGTCCTCAAAAACTAACACAAGGTTCACAGAATCAGAACAAGTCAATTTAGATATAGAACTCAAATAATTAATGTCATTAGAACAAACTTGTCTGATTAATCTTGCTCCACAATAAAGACAGTTCCATCCTGGGATAATTGCACTATAACCACCCACCATTTAAACACAATAATAGTTATTCTAAAATCTCAGGAACATTTTTTTTCATATAATTATTCCCATGTCATGGAACTGAAGCTTTGATTGGGTAAAAGTAGCGCTTTATAAATTCTTCTTTTCATTTATTATAATCTGTTTACTTTTCCACTAAACATGAGTAGTTCCTGCAGCTTCCTACTTAAAAATCACTTGCAGTTTGGGTTATTGTTAGTATAATTTTCATCAGAATGGTTGACTTCAGGGGTGACTATTCTTTTACTTTCGTTTTCTGTTCCACGTACTTATTCTTCCCAAATGTGCATTAATGATTCTGTTGGAAAGACATAATTACTTTTGTTTTGTTATTAGGCTTTGTTTCTATGCTTTCAACCTGAAAAAATTTTTTTAAACAGTGAAGTATAGGCTGGGAGTGGTGGCTCACGCCTGTGATCCTAGCACTTTGGGAGGCAAATGTGGGCAGATCATTTGAACTCAGGAGTTCAAGACCAACCTGGACAACATGGTGAAACCCCATCTCTACAAAAAATAACAAAAATTAGCCAGACATGGTGGCACGCACTTGTAGTTCCAGCTGCTGGGGAGGCTAAGGTGGGAGGTGAGAGGTGGGAGGTGGGAGGATCACCTGAGCCCAGGGAGGTTGGGGCTGCAATGAGCAGAGATCATGCCACTGCATCCCAGCCTGGGTGACACAGTGAGCCCTGTCTCAAAAAAAAAAAAAAAAATTAAGTGTAATAAACTCTAGTTTTGTATGCATTTCTTCTGTTACAGAATTTCCCTAAAGCTAACCTATTAAAAACTATGATTAGATTTCATATGTGCTATAAACATTCTTTATTTAAAATAAATTACTCTAATTAAGAAAGGAATAACATTTGCTTGAACATTTAGAACATCTGGCATTAGAGACTACCAAATTCATATGTAGTCTAAAATACTTATTAGACACATTCTTAATTCAAGAATATATAATTATTCATATGATTAGAAATAATTATAATTTTACTAAACACTGCTAATTAGGCAGAGTATAAACAAGAAAAAATCAGAAGGAAAATAGAACCACAATTTGTAATATATTTATTTTAAAACATATTTAGCTTTCTTTGTTACTTCTAAAAGTAAAAATTGTAAGTCAATATATTATTAAAACTTCCAGTTAATCTTTAAGTCTACAGGTGCTACTAAGAAATTGCAATTTGTAACTTAACAGAGATATTAAATTCTGCAGAATTGTTACCAGATTCAAGCATTTCTCTTCTCTAGGTATAACTCATTTCTCATGTTTCTCTATTTATCTTTTTGCTGAAATAATTTACTCCTTCAGTAGTGATTTCACCCTTTCACCCTTCTGTGTTTTTGTGTCATAACAGAAGAATCAATGAATAATGATTAAAATTAAGTCAACATACCTAATATAAACAGTTAAAGCTTTTATGAAGCTTAATCTTTGTGCACTTACCAAGAAGAAAAGTAAACCCAGTATTATTTGGGAACAAAGGACTTGGAAAATCCACAAATGGAATAATTAGTGAAAGCCAATTTTATGGAGGCTGTTAAAACTACTCCAAAGCAATAATAGTGACAACACACACACACAAGTACACACACACACACGAGCAGTGCTTCTCAAATTTTGATGTGTGTACTGATCACCTGAGGATCTTGTTAAAATGGAGATTCTGAGTCAGTAGGTCCACCACGGGGCAAGAGAGTCTCCATTCCTAACAGAGCCCCTAGTAATGCCAGTGCAGGTAACCCAAGGACCCCATTTTGAGTAGCAAGGACGTGGAGTATTTACCTTACTTTGGATAACTTACAAAATGCTTTAATTTGGCTTCAAATCAAAATAAAAAGTAATTTATAATCCTTGAAATCTTTTAATGAACATTTTTTGAGTAACTAGTATGATATGGACCAGGAAGTCCCAAAGTATGTTCTCTAGACCAATAGCATCAACATTGTTTGGGAACTGGTTAAAAACGCATATCCTTGGGCCACACCCAGACTTATTGAAGCAGAGACTCTGCAGGTAGGGCTCAAGATTCTGTTTTAACTATTTCTCCAGATGATTCTGATACACTTTAGGTTTTGAAAACTACTGCTCTAGACAGTATGCTGAGGGTCTGGGGTGCATATCACAGTAACTGTCAAGAATCTCAGTACAGTAGGAAGGGATCCAGTTGCTGAACCAGTTGATACCATTAAGTATGTGATGAGTACAAAAACAGAATGACAGACAAGGTGGCACCCAACACAGAGGATGTAAAGGTTTCCTAGAAAATGTCATGTGAACTGAATTTCATAGGGATTAGCCATCTGAAGACAGTGGCATGTACAACATAAAGCAAATGTTATGCAGGAAGAATCCTGCTGGCATCTTTGGAAAACTGCAGTAATTCACCCAAGATGGCTGGCTGTGGGGTGTTTGAAGACCTCTCTATCCTTGTCCTTCTCACCTGTCCATGAGTAAAACAAATACCATTAGAGCTAGAAAAAAAAAAAAAAAATTACAAAGCTGAGTCTATTAACTTGCCAAGCAAGAGAACTTACTCCGTGAAGAATTTCACTGAGGAGGGAAAGTCAGGGGTTTTTAAATGTTAGAAGTGGGGAGCTCATGGGGCTTATGCTAATTAAGCATTGGAAACTGGCACTCTGGATATAGGGCAGAATGAATATATAGGTCTCTACGCCGTTGGTTAAATAAAATAAATATCTCATTGTTCACTAGTCAGGAAAGTCTCTTCAGTTAGGTCCAGTGAGGAAGGTGCCTGTCTAAGGTCACTGAGGCTTAAAGACCCTTATCAGCTTCAGCCTGTGGTGTTAAAATACAAGAGTCAGTTGCTGTCTCCTAGGCAAGCTCTACTTTAAGTGAAATTTTTCCTTTCCCCTCCCTCCTCTTCATCTTTCCTGATCCTGAGATACTAGGATGACCACACAAAAGATATGCAAATAATCCAGTTGTCAGCTCTCTGCCACCATCTTGGTCTGGGATGCCATTCTCA